TTTTTCTTTTTTAGATTCCACATATGAGCGATCTCATATGGTATTTTTCTTTCTCTTTCTGGCTTACTTCACTTAGAATGACATTCTCCAGGAGCGTCCATGTTGCTGCAAATGGCATTATGCTGTCGGTTTTTATGGCTGAGTAGTATCCCATTGTATAAATATACCACCTCTTCTTTATCCAGTCATCTGTTGATGGACATTTAGGCTGTTTCCATGTCTTGGCTATTGTAAATAGTGCTGCTATGAACATTGGGGTGCAGGTGTCTTTTTGAAGTAGGGTTACTTCTGGGTATATGCCCTAGAGTGGGACTCCTGGGTCATATGGTAAGTCTATTCCTAGTTTTTGAGGAATCTCCATACTGTTTTCCACAGTGGCTGCACCAAACTGCATTCCCACCAACACTAAAGAAGGAAATTAAAGAAGACTTAAAAAGAAATGGAAAGATATCCCATGCTCCTGGATTGGAAGAATCAATATTGTTAAAATGCCCAAGGCAATCTGTAGATTTAATGCAATCCCTATCAAATTACCCAGGACATATTTCACAGAACTAGAACAAATCATAATAAAATTTATATGGACCCACAAAAGATCTAGAATTGCCAAAGCATTACTGAAGAAAAAGAAAGAGGCTGGAGGAATAACTCTCCCAGACTTCAGACAATACTATAAAGCTACAGTAATCAAGACAGCATGGTATTGGTACCAAAACAGACATATGGACCAATGGAACAGAATAGAGAGCCCAGAAATGAACCCACAAACTTTTGGTTAACTAATCTTTGATAAAGGAGGCAAGAATATACAATGGAATAAAGACAGTCTCTTCAGCAAAAGGTGTTGGGAAAACTGGACAGCAGCATGTAAATCAGTGAAGCTAGAACACACCCTTACACCATATACAAAAATCAACTCAAAATGGATCAAAGCCTTAAACATAGACAAGATACAATAAACCTCCTAGAAGAAGATATAAGCAAAACATTATCTCACATAGATCTCAAAAATGTTCTCCTAGGGCAGTCTACCCAAGCAATAGAAATAAAAGCAATAATAAACAAATGGGACCTAATTAAACTTACAAGCTTCTGCACAGCAAAGGAAACCATAAGTAAAACAAAACGACAGCCTGCGGAATGGGAGAAAATTTTTGCAAACAATGAAACTGATAAAGGCTTGATCTCCAGAATATATAAGCAGATCATATGACATAATAAGAAACAAAAAACCCAATCCAAAAATGGGCAGAAGACCTAAACAAGCAATTCTCCAAGGAAAAAATACAAATGATCAATAAGCACATGAAAAAAAATGCTCAATATCACTATTTATCAGAGAAATGCAAATCAAAACCACAATGAGGTGTCACCTCACACCAGTCAGAATGGCCATCATTCAAAAGTCCACAAATAACAAATGCTGGAGAGGCTGTGGAGTATAGCAATTATTGATAGATGTGTATTTATTGCCATTTTGAACTTTGTTTTCCAGTTGATTTGATATTTCTTCTTCGTTTCTTCCTATTCCTTTTTGTGGTTTCATAATTTTCTTTTGTGTTAGCTTGGTTTCTTTTTGGTTTTTGTGACTCTATTGTATGCTTTTGATTTGTGGTTACCCTGTTTTTTAAGTATATTTACCCCTTACTATAACTGTTTGCTTTAGACTGGTAGTCATGTAGGCTCAAACGCATCCTAAAAAGAATGAAGAAAAAAAAGAGAGAGGGGGAAAAAAACAGTCTATATTTTCTTGCTCCCCTCTCCCACCTGCTATGATTTTGATATTCTTTATTTTTATTTATTTTTTCACATCCTTGTGTTTATTCTCTTGCAACTCATTGTAGTTATCACATTTCCAATTATGGTTTTCTCATTTCTATAGCTTCCTACTGCTTTTCTATTTACAGTAGACCTTTCAATATTTCTTTTAGTATAGGTTTAGTATTGTTGAATTCTTTTAGTTTTTGCTTGTCTGTGAAATTCTTCATCTCTCCTTCTATTCTAAAGGATAACCTTGCTGGATAAAGTATCCTAGGTTGCAGCCTTTTCTCATTCAGGACTTTGAACCTATATCTTGCCACTCCCTTGTGGCCAGCAGTGTTTGGGCAGAGAAATCAGCCAAAAGTCTTATGGGGGTTCCCTTGTAACTAACTCTTTGCTTTTCTCCTGCTGTCTTTAGAATTATTCCTTTAACTTTGGCCATCTTAATTATAATATGTCTTGGTGTAGATCTGTTTGAGTTCTTGTTTGGAATGCTCTGTGCCTCCTGTACTTAGATATCTAATTCCTTCTTTAGGTCTGGAAAGTTTTCAGTCATGATTTCCTCGAATCCCTTTTCAATCTCCTTTTCTCTTTCTTCTCCTTCTGGACCCCTATTGTGTGTAGATTGGCATGCTTTATATTATCCCATAGGTCCTTTATATTGCTTTCATAGATTTTTACTTGCTTTTCTGTCTGCCGTTCTGATTGGATGACTTCTGTTATTCTGTCTTCTAAGTCACTTATTCATTCCTCTGCATTATCTAGTCTGCTTTTCACTGCCTTTAGCTTGGCTCTTATCTAAAAAATTGAGTTTTCTGTTTTTAATTGGCTCTTCTTTATAGTTTCAATTTCCTTTTCATAGTATTCTTTGTTTCTATTCATAATCTCTCTTAGTTCCTTCAGTGCTTTTATCATTCCCTTTTGAAGTCATGAGCTAGTAGATATCTCATTGTTCAGTCTTTCAAGGGACTTCTCTTGTTCTTTTAATTGGGAGTGGTTCTTCTGCTTCTTCATTTTACTTATATTTCTCTGGCTCTATGAATTTAGGAGTATCAATTATCTACTGTGGTCTTGAAGGGCTTTTTTATTTTTTGTTTGTTTGTTTTTATTTAAAGTGGGAGCATTCTTGTGTAAACTGTGTCCATCTAATGGTTTTGTTGCAATGGCTGCTCTTAGTATGGATGGTTGCCTCTTCTTTCCTCCATGTGTATTGGCTGTTATCCCTTTGACTGGGAATGTGGTTGGTGTTGTTGTGATCAGAGCCTTCCCTGATTGTTATTATTGGGTGAGGCCTCCTTTTTTGTGCTGTGGTTGTCACAGCCTTGACAGGGTCCTCATCTGCTCCCCTGGAACAGAGGCTTCTAAACCTGTTTCTGAGCTGTGGTGTGTAGTATGCAGGCTTCAGCTGAGAAGAAGAGTAGGCAGATGTCCACTGAGATGTGCCCTCTGTGGTGTTGTCTGTCATTGTTATGCAGGCTTACAAAGTATTATTTGTTGACACTGCCTTTGTTCTTGCCTAAGCTGTGGTAATGTCAGCCACCTGCTCTGGTGTCCCGTAGGTTCTGAATCCCAGGAACCACCAGTGCAGATCCACCAATGTCCGGCACTAGAACCCACCATAGCAAGCATGCAGTCACACATCTGAATCTGTGGTGCACCACAGGTTCAGTGCAGACCCCAGCCCTGCCTCCACGTACATAAGGTACACTGGCTTGTTGTAAATATCCGTAAACCTCCACCCTGCGTTAGAACTCTGCTCACTGCCTCTTCATCCTAGGGGTGCAGGTTCACAAAGGGTCCAAAGAGAGCAAATCCACTTGCTCTGCCTTAGGCTGTAAACAAATCTCAGTTCCGCCTGGTGAATTTGCAGGGCCCCTGGGGATGGACTCAGCTTTCAGCCCCGCTTCCTCTCAGCAGCGATGGCTATGACCCAGCCCCACCTTTCTTCTCATGAGAACACACCAGCAATGGAGCCAAGTGGAGACAGCAGTTATGGCCTGGCTGCTCTGCGCCCCTCCCCGCCAACACACACCAGCAGTGGTGCTCTTTTATGGGAGGATCCCAGGCTGTTCTGTTCTGCGCACACCCCCAGCCAGTGCTCACACCGCCCTCCAGTCCTCTGAGGCTGCCTCCACGCAGTAGGCCCCAGCCTCTCCCCGGCTCATCACTGATCTCCAGCAGCCAGTCCCTGCTGGCTCATGTCTAGGGCTGGGGCTCACAGGGACCCTCAGTGTCTGTTTCCCTTAGTTCTGTCTGCCAATCAGTTGCCACTTTCTCCTCTGAGCCTTGGAAGCTCCTGTTCGGTCCCTGCTGACCTCCCAGCTGGAGAGGGGACATCCCAGCATGAGGGCGCCTTTCTTCCTATGCCGTCCCTCCCCGTAGGACCAGTCCTGCACCGATTTTTTTCTTTTTTTTTCTCACTTGATTTTGTGATAATCCTGTATTTTGAAATAAGAGACACTCTGCCAGAATTCAGTAGGTGTTGTGTGCGACTCATTGGGTTTGTAGATGTAATTCTTGGTGTATTTGTGGGAGAGGGTGAGCTGTGAGTTTCTCTACTCCACCATCTTGGCTCAATCCCCCAAACCATTTCTAATTCCCCTCACCCTAAGGGGGTCTTGGTAGCTCACCTGGGTGGGTACCCCAAATCCTCATTCCTTAGAGGTCTGAGAACCTTCTCAGAGCATGGCTGCTGCTCTTGTCTTGTCCGTTCACAGACATGGCGGGGCAAAGGAATACCAACTGACTCTCCAATCTCACTGGAGTTCACACATATTCCTCCCCATCCCCTCTAACAGCAGTCCTACCTCCTCCTGCTGAACAGGTCAATCACCTTGTGTAAGACAATGATTCCCTGTCTTACCTGCTGGTCTCTCACCATTAGGAGGCCAAAGTGATTGGTGGCAGCCATAGCTTGTAGTCCAGTGGGATCTTTCTGTGTCCCCAGGCAAGAAAGTGCCCCTTTCCGGGACTAAGACCCCTAATTTTGCAGAGCTGAGACTTTTGGGGACAGGGAAGGCCAGTGGGTTTGTAGGGGAGCAAAACTTGCCACCCTAAAATGTCTCTTTGTTGTGCAGATCATTTTGAGCTGAAAATAATCAAAGCCCAAAAGACTCAGGAAGAAACTTTGACTGAGAAGGAAAAGCCGGGCTGGGCCTACTCGTAAATCTGAGTTTAAGACGTGTCGGATTACTGACCTGAGTTCTGCTGGGCTAACTCGTAAATCTAAGTTTAATTAGTGTCGGTAACTGATCTGTTCTTATTAGATAAGTTCTAGTTTACTGATTCCCTGCTTCCCTTTTGTGATGTTGCTAAGCTCTTTGCACCTTATTGTCCAATATACCCCAAGCTTGTAATCTACCCTATAAAACCTCATGCACACGTGTTAGAAGTGCTCAGAGCCCCAGAGCAATAGCCCCACTGAGCCCGCCGGCATAATAAACCTGAGTACTCCAGCCCTCCGAGTGGTGCTTGTCTCTTGGCTGGCCTGTCATTTCTGTAACATGACCTTCCCCCTAATTGCCTAAAAAAAATTTAGATAGAGGGCCTGTTCCCAGAATAGAGCTATCACCAGAGACACCTGCAAAGAACGTGGGCTCGCTATGGTGGGGCAAACTCTAAACAGGGTCTAGAGATTAGAGTCCACTCCACATCCCATTGTCTCTGCATGACCCAGCAAACATTTATTTACCAAATATTTGCTTTTCCACCTGTATGTGGATTGCCTTCCTCCCCCTCGAAGTCCCAAACCACTACTCCCAACACCCTCTTTTGTCCTTAGCTGAGGATGTTATTCAAAGTGAGGGTTTCAGCCATTTTGAGGAGTTACTCAGTTTTCCTGGGTCTCTCCCAAGTATATATGTTATTAAACTTTGATTTTTCTCCTGTTAATCTGTCTCATGTCAATTTAATTCTTAGACCAGCCAGGAGGGTAGAGGAAAATTTCTCCCTCCCCAATAGGTCATTGGAATGATGCTAACTGGAGCCACTCATACTCCCACTCATTGTGGAAGACACATGTATTCTTTCTATTGGTTGGGATGGAGGGGGTGAGTGAAGTAGCTCAGTGGAAGAGCACATATTTAGCATGCACAAGGCCCTGGATTCAATCCCCAGTACCTTCATTAAAAATAATAATAATAAATATTTTAAAAACTTAAGATTCTGTTGCAGACACAGCACCATACTAATCTATCTGATTGAAAGAATATACCATGATGTCCTGGAGGAAGTGTCATCATTGCAATGTGTTGCCTCCTGCTGGAGCTTCAGCTGCATCTTTAACTAGTCATTCCAATATTTTGTCTATCCAGTAACTTCAAGGTCACTGGGTGTGTGATAAGACCAGCAGATCCCATGTTCGTGGGCTCACTCCCCTATTTCCTGTGAAGGAGAGAGGCTTCTGGTCAGATGCTGTATTATGTGGGATTCCATGTCTGTGGATCAGGCAATCTGTAAGTCCCCAGAGACTGGGGCTACTGAGGTCCTGCAGGCAGGAAAAGCAATCCTGTACCTGGAATCAGTGTCAGTTCCTGAAAGAGCATACCTCTGGCTCTTCCAGGAAAAAAAAACAAGGCCCAATGTAGTCAACTGGTCACCGAGTATCCTATTAAGGAATAGAGCTTAGCATTTGCCTTTATGGCGGGCAGACTGGACATTTAGAGGTGGCAGTAGCTGTATTCATTTTGGTAAATGACAGTCCAAGCTGTTAGGTTTTTTTATTGCCTCCATCTCTGCCACCCTAGCCTCTTTGTTCAGGTTCCCAGCATGCAGCAGTGGTGAGAGAGGGGCTCTGACCAAGGCTGGCTGCATTAACCAGCCATATTATTTTGTCTAGTTGGCACACCTTTCATGATAGATGCTTACTTGTGGGCCTTAACATGTGAGACAACCAACTTCCCACTTTGTGTCCACTCCCCTATGTTCATCCACATGCCTCTACTTCAAATCTTCTTGTTTCTGATTTTACAGTCTTTTTCTTCAGGTCCTCCGCCCACCAGCCAGGCCACTCATCACTGTGCATGAGTCCACATTTGTTGTAACCTTGGTCCATTCTCCTTCCGCACCAAGTGGATGACCAGGTGCACACCTCAAAGCTCCTCCTGTTGGTGAGATTTTCCTTCATCACTGTTTTTCAAGGCCTCCTCTGAGCGAGACTGTAATACAGCCACCACCCGTTTTCAGCTTGTACCCACATACTGAAGTGACCCACCAATGAGCCCAGTGTATTCTTCTTCTTCTTCCTTTTGCTGGTTATGTGGGATCCCCCTCACACAGCCACAGGTCTAGGCTGGGGGAGGGGGGCCAGTGCAACCGTAATGAGTGACATGGAGATCTGGGCTACATGCTCTTACAGCTTCTTGTACCTCCTGGTCCTGCTTATGCTTAGTCCCAGATGCACCTGTTTTATCCTATGATGACTCTGATGCTGGGTCTGCCTGTATAAACTGATCTGTCCAGTAGGACCTAGCTCGTGATGGCCAATCTGAGCCCAAGGTCACTTAGTATCTCTACCAAGGCCCAGTAGCAAGCTAGGAGCTGTTTTTCAAAAGGAGTAATTCTTCCCAGCAGTTGGCATTACCTTGTTCCATAATCCCAGGGGTCTTCTTTGTGATTCTTTTATTGAGACTTGCCATAAATGCCACACGACATATTGTTCCATCGCTGACACTCCAACACTATAGGACCTGCCAGATTGTGAGGTCCAGGCAGCAGTGCTGTTGATATCACAGGCTGGACATACTGCAGCGTTATTTTTCCCTCTCCGGGTCCACGCAAAGCTGGCAGACTTCCCTGCAGCCCAGTATGTGGGGGTAGTTTTCTTTGGTGTAGAATGTGTTTCTTCAAGAACTTAAAGAAGCCTAATGGGCTTTGTGCTTCCTTTCTTCCAGTAAGGGATGCCAGGTGCAGAAAGTTGTCTTTAATTAGGAGGACATGTCCCAGCACGCTGCTGGCCATCAGACTTTCAGAATCCTTAGAGAAGTGGCAGGTCACTGAATCTTCATAGGATTTCTCTGCCACTGCCTGGAGCTTCTAGCGTGCGCTTCACCACTTCCTCATCCTGCCTGAGCAGCATATCGTTGACGTAATGGGTCAATGTGTGGTTACGTAGGCTGTCCACGTGCTCCAGTCCTCTTCAGACTGTGTTATGACGGGGGGTTGAAGAGTGAGCATAGCCCTGCAAAACTGCAAATGCTTGCTGATATTCATTTTGTGCGAATATGAACTCTTTCTGATCCTTTTTCCTGACTGGGATAGAAAAGAATGTATTTGCCAAATCAACAGCCACAAACCAGGTACCTGAGGCCGCATAACTCTGCAAATCCTCTATGCCTGGCACGGCAGGTCAGACCAGGTGACTACCTCCCTGCTGTAGTCTGCAGTCTTTCTCCAGCCAGTTACTGTAGGGCTGACACTGGCAAATTAAACAGAGATATGATAGGGATGACATGTCATCATTTGATATTTAAGAGTGCTATTGATCTTGGCCATCTTCCTACCCTGGGTTGCAATGCAATGCAATGCCCAGGGGTGAGGGTGCAGTTTCAGCTACTTCCACTTGGCCTTCCCTACTACCATGGCTCTCACCCCAGAGGACAAGGAGGCGACGTGAGGATTAGTCCAGCTTCCAAGAATGTCCTTCTCAATATACATTTGGGATTAAGGGAATGACAACTAATGGACCTCTGGACCCAAGGGGACTCACCTTTTCAGAAATCCATTTGCTCCCAGTCTAACGGGGGGGCCATCAAAGTGCTTCAGCTGTCAGAGTATCAGTTAACCTCTGACCTTGTGTTCAACAGTCATCCAAATGCCTGGGTAAGCCCTCTTCCCAGTGTTTTGCCATCCCAGGAGATGTTGTAGTTCTCTCTGGGGAAGCATTAGAGGAACTATTACAGTCCATCCTTGCCACAGCATTGCAGGTCCTTCCTCTGGGGACCTGGCCACCTCTTCAGAACTGAGTATGATGTCTGAACACTGGTTCAGGTATGGAAACCAGGCAAAAAATTGTGACCTTTTATTGGGGTGACTGTCTTCCTCATTGTCCTGCTTATTGATTCTTGTTTTTCTTTCAATTGTGCATGTAAAGCAGTGTTTTGTCGGCTACCCATCTATTCTCCTCCGAGGGAAACTGTTCTATTCACAACCTCTGAAGCTCTCTACAGGTCAGCCCCCAACCGTGGCTGTCATTCTGAATTTGTTGTAACAAACCCCTGGCTTCTGGAGTTACAGGCCATCACCTGGGGTCTATTGCATCAGGGCCCTATCATCCCCACTGCTGTCACTGAGTCAAGTTCTAGGACAGCCCCTCCTTCCGTCAGTTACACCCTGTGGGAATGCACCGCTGAACTTCTTAGTGACTTTGATGCCCCTTTCACCAGGGTTTTGCTGTTAACCTTGGTGGAAGTGATGCCTCTGAGCCATCCTATAGCACTTAATTTTCTGGTGGACCTTTTGGCCTGCCATAATATAACTCTTCTAGCACGTCTACCTTCCTGAGTCTTTTACTCCTTTCCTGTACTCTCTGTCAGAGAAATTTAGGCATTTCATCCTCTCTCTTCATGGGCCATTACTTTCCCAGGCTTCTAGAAGCCACCTGGCAGAAATTTTGCACCATTCCCTGTCCTTGTCAGGATGTTAAATCCTGTATCCTGAGAGAGTGCTCCTTTGTCAATAACGTCTGTATACAGTCTTATATTCCAGCTCACTTAATAGAGGCGTTTTCTTAGAATGATAAGGTTGAAAGTCAAAATATATCACTTATTTTAAAGGATTGACAAGGAAATGAGAAGAGAGGAGGGGAACTATTTGGGTAGTTAGAGAGGTTTTTTTGTTGTTCGTTTGTTTGATTGTTTATTGCTATTGTTTTACTGGAATATCTAAGCATTTGAGAAAATTTCAAAGAAATAAGTCTCAGAAGAATGCAAAGCTGTCGCTCAGACACATTCATGTGATACCAAGCTTCGTGAATCTGTTGAACCACCAATCAAGGAGGGAAGTAAAACATACACAAGGCAGCGATGAGTCAGCTCTGCCAGGTCCTAGAAATTTAAAGTACATAAACATCAGAGGATTGAGTCAGAGGGAATGTCCAAAGTCCATGGCAAACAAATGTTCTCCAGGAGATACAGGAGTCAAAGGAGACGTTAGTCAGCCAGACAGGGGAGGGCAGACGTGGGGAGCAGGCAGGGGATTTCCCTAGATTGAATCTGCGTAGCAGCCGGGCTCTCTGGGAGGAAGTGAATTGGGAAGGGATGAAGCTAGAGTATACAAGTGGAGGGGCTAACGTTAGAGTGAGAAGGACCATTTCCCTCTTTGAGGATGAATTTATAGACTTTGCTTTGGTGGTTTTAAAATGAGGAACATCGGCTGCAAACTTCCTGATAATACTCGTCTGAAAGCACAGCAACAGGCACGTAGTAGTCCAGAGATGGGCTGACTTGGTGACAATGACCCGATGTGGCAGTTAGCTGGTTCTCCACGAGTCTTGCCTCCTGATATTTGCACCCTTGTGTAGTCCCCTCCCACACTGCAGAGGACTGATATGTGTAATCAGTATGATATTACAGAAATGACAGCATGAATTCCAAACCTACATCAGAAAAAACACTGTGACTTCCTCCCTTTTCACTTTTTTTTGTATATATATATTTTACTGAAGTACAGTCAGTTTACAACTTTGTGTCAATTTCTGTTGTACAGCGTAATGCTTCAGTCATATATGAATATACATATATTCATTTTCATAATCTTCTTCACCATAAGTTGCAACAGGATATTAACATAGTTTCCTGTGCTCTACAGTATGAACTTGTCCTCTCTGTTCACTCCTTTATCACTCACTCTGGGGAAGCCAGTTGCCGTGTTGTGCGGACCCTAAAGCAGTCCTATGGAGAGGTCCGTATGGCAGGTAGCGAAAGCCAGGCATGTGGGCAAGCCACTTGGAATGGGATCCTTCAGCTCCAGCCAGGTCCCGTGACTAGAGCCCCCAGCTGACAGCTTAACTTCAACCTTAGAAGAGACTCTGAGCCAGAACCACCCAGCTAAGCTACTCAGCAGTATGTGAGCTACTCAGTAACTATGGTAGATAAGAATATTGATTGCTTTAAGCTATTCAGCTTGGGAGCAAATTGTTCTGCAGCAGTGGATAATGAATACCATATACCCAAACACGCAGAGTAACAAAGATCCAAAACACAGAGTAATGTGGACAGTGTGAGGAAACTGGGTAGGTAATCTGGTCCAGAGGAGGGATGAAAGGACAGACGAAGTGAAAAGAGCAGATGAGAGGGAGTGGGAGTTACAACAGGTTATCAGGTTGCATGTGGCTGGGAAGAGTCGACCAGGGGCTTAGGATCTCTGAGACCGCTGTATGGAAGGTCAAGGCGGGACTGGGCATGGCAGGCAGAGAGGGGCCCCAGCAGGCTGCATCCGGGTGGCCTTTCATGCCTTGGGCTTCCTCCTTCAGTACTATTCCCCCTGGGATAGAATAGGACTGGGGCTGTACCCTGAGCCCCCAGGTGACAAGACCACCAGGCCCAAAGCATCTACTGTGTGTAAATGCTTTAAAAAATATGAAAACTTAAACAAATGTGGCACATTCATACCATGGAATATTATTCAGCCATGGAAAGGAATGAACTCCTTGTACATGCTATAACATGAATGAGTCTTAAAAACATTATGCTAAGTGAAAGAAGCCAAATTTAAAGGGCCACATACAGTATGATTCCATTTATATGAAATGTCCAAAATGGGCAAATCCATAGAGACAGAAAATAGACTAATGGTTGCCAGGGTCTCAGGAAAAGAATGAATGGGAAGTGGCTACCAGCGGATACAGGTTTCTTTTGGGGGTCATGAAAATGTTCTAAGATTAGATAATGGTGATGCACAAACTTGTGAACCCACTAAATTGTATACTTTAATATGGTGAATTTTATGGCATGCAAACTATATCCCAATAAAAAATAGAATATGAAGACTGAAGTGCATGTAATAGCACTGAGAGTGTACCCAGCACTATGCTAAATGCTTTCTGTATATAATTCATCTAACTTTCACAACCAGTAGGCCTAGGAAGTGAGCACTGTTATTATCATTTTCTTTTTACAGGTGAGAAAACTGAAGCCCAGAGAGGTTAAGTGACTTGCCCAGGTCACACAGCTAAAGCAAGTGCCAGAGCCAAGAACTGAACCCAGGAAGTCTATCCCCTGAAGCTACAGGCTTAATCACTCTGTTATATCACCTTTTACTTATCCATGATCTCAGGTGAGTCTTAAGCAAATCAGCGAGGTGGATTTTAGTACCTCTATTTACAGAGGGAAAAACTAAAACTCAGAGTGGTTAAGTAACTGCTCAAGATCACACAGCTAGCAGGATTCAAATCCAGGTCTTGCTGATTTCAAAAGACACAACTCTATGTCACTTTCAGCTCTTGCTGGCAGCTGCCTTCAGCAGCAGAGGGTGAACTGAAATGGACCTTCCCAGGATCCTGCACCTCAGCAGCCAACTGACACAGGGAGCTCCTTTTAATGATCATGGGATTGCAACACCTGGTATTTTTCCAGTTTACATGTTATGATGTTTACATTGCTTTCAGGTTTCTCCATTTATCTTTTCCCTAAATAAACAATTCCATTAGCAAACAGAAGTTGAAAATTACAGGGGAGCTCAGTAGTAGAATGCACACTTAGCATGCATGAGTTCCTGGGTTCAATCCTCAGTGACTTTGTTAAAAATAAATAAATAAACCTAATTACCTCCCTCACAAAAAAAATTTTTTTAATGAATTAAAACATCAAAAAAAAAATTGAAAATTAGTTTGCTCAGTAGCTTCACACAGACAAAGCCACTTAGTTTTAACTGGTATAAATCAAGTTACCTTTTATTCGGAAATAAATATTGACTCATGTCTTTAGTTTCAGTTAAAAATTTGGTTGTCTAGAAAAATTTGGGAGTTTTCAAATAGATATCTCTTTTTTATTTTTAGATTATGGAAAATTTCTATATAAAAATAGATGGTATAATAAACACTCATGTACCCATCACCTAGCTTCAACAATGATCACCTGTAAATTTCTTATTATCTAGTTCTCCAATTTATTAATAGTTCAGCCATGACTATGTTATCCTTTAGCATTGGTTAAATCATTTTTTAAAAGCAAAATTTTCATAGGTGTCATTTCTTGATTATAAATGTATAGATAATTCATCTGAAACTAACATTGTGAAACAAATACATATCAATAAAAATAAAATAAAATAAATTTATAAATAACTTATATTTTCTTCATTTTGATTCTTGGTATCTTCCAAAATTTCCATGGTGAATATGTAGTAATAAGAAAAATAACTTATTTAAATAATTGAAAAATGTATTTCTTTAAGGAGCATTTTTTTCGAATGCTTTATCCCACAGTATTTCTTGCTCTTTCTTAGAACAGTCATATAACTCACTAGTAGGAAGTGGGATAAAATTTGCTTTTTTAAACATGCTTTTTGATGGTAAGGTAGAATCTTTGTGAAACTAATGAACAAAAGAAGAAAAAAACCTAATAGCGCTCAATAGAGCTGATGAATGGAGTTACTGTGTTCCACAGCAGAAATGTTGAGGGATCTTATTTTCATGAGACTTTTTCCTTAAGGAAAGTCCACCCTAGCAAGAAATGCCAAAACTTCTTACTGTCTTCCACATTCCCTCAGCAACTCATAGCCCTGGTGATTGACAGGTGATTTCCAAGGACCAGGAGTCAGTATCACTGCATCATAGCTAGAGTGGTGTAACAGACTCCAGAACATCACTCTGAGCTCAGACCTGGATTATCATAAAAATAAAACAGAACAAAAATCCCCCAAAACACAGATTTGGCAAGATGCAATTTACATATCATAAAATTCACCTGTTTTAAGGGTACGGTTCAATGTTTTTCAGTAAATTTACATCATCATGCAACCATCATCACAATCTGGATTTTTTTTTTAAAATAATACTTCAGAAACTGCCATTCTATTGCAACTGCAATAAAGTTGCAAGTTCCAAATTTGCTTCTTAACTATGCAACCAGCTTTTGTGTGTCTGTTATTATGTGTTTCATAACACCTTAGACTCTTAGAGCTAGCATTGGGAGTAGCAGCGTCTTCTCAAGGATACTCAGTGCCATATTCTGCCCTTCATAATTACAGCCACCATTCAAACAGCCTCTAACAGGGATTTAGAGCTTAAAACAGCAGTCTAAACTGCTGGAAATCAGAGATCACTTCAACGGATTTAGCAAGATCAACAGGGTTATTTACAGCATAATCAGCAACACTGCCCTTAGACTTTGAGAGGGGACCCTGCCCTGGGCTCTGTACTCTGACTGCACCTCACACCAGGTGTGAAGAAGCCATGGAGCTGAGGGGTTCTTGCGGCTCCCCCTTACCACACTATGGTAAATTCCCTGCCCACACCACTTCCAGCCTGTTTCCCTACCTGAGTGGGTCTCTTCCCTGTGTCTGTCCTCCTTTTAGGTGTGTCAGGGGGTGACTGCTCACAGGAGAGTGAGTGACGACAACTTGCACTTGTGGGATGGGCCTCCACGATATGCACAGGGCCCCCCCATGGTGCGGGATGGAACCTAGGCTGAAAAGAGAAGGGCAGGGACTGAGGGCGGGGGCTAGCTCTCACCACACTGCCGCCTCCCCCAAAGGAATTCTGAGAAGTCTAAATTGGACCATGACTTTCTTCATGGGGCTGCATTTGTCAAGGTAGGAGGAAAAAACATTTTAATAGTTTGCTAGGCTGATTTTAACTTTTTCAGAATTTAGACATATGGTATGTGGACCTCTGTTTGTATGGTTTCATTTACATGAAACGTCCAGAATAGGCAAATCCAGAGGCAGAAAATGGGTTAGTGATTGCCAGAGGCTGGGAGAAGGGGGAGAAGGATGAATGGCTGCTGATGGACATGGGGTGATGATAATGTTCTGGAATTCGACAGTGGTGATGGATCCACAACACTGAATTGTACACTTTAAAAGGGTGAGTTTTATATTAGTTGAATGACATCACAATAAAGAAATTACAAAAAATATAAAGATTGTTATATAAAGAGGAGCCAAAAATAATTTTGTTTTACATTTAACCAAAGGTAGGGATATTTCTGATATGTGGAACCAAAAGAATTATAAGTATAGTGTTGAGGAATTTGTGCATCTTTAAAGTCTATGGTTGTGCCTGTCTGCAAGTATTTATCCATCTTTGTGGGTATACAAAAGTGTATATATCAGGGAATTAAGATATGTAGTCATTCATTTACTCTCTAAGTGATTGGGGGTGAGGATGGGGATGGGGACAGGAGCTGGAGTGCAAGGAGGATGAAAAAGAATCTGAGAAATCATACCTGCCTTCTATGAGCTTATGGTACACCTGAGTCTCTCTAGGGCTAGTTATTCAGAGGGCTATGTAATGTAATTCAACTATAACGCAACTACCTCTACATTCGGGAGAATTACTTCACTTCTCCAGATGTTGTTTCCTTAGTCTGTTAATTGCGAGGGTTGGACTAGATGTCCTTTAAAGGTCCCTTGCGGCTCTAATATTCCATGATTTGGTGATTTTAGACTACCCTTGCAGCTGTGTTCACTGGGTTTGGGAGTGAGATAGATAAGTCATCCAATCAACACATATTTATTATAGCTCCTTATTGTCTGTAATGTCATAAGCCAAAGCAAAAAGACCAGGTAAGAATCATGAGATTGAGAAGTCATAAAACATGTCATGAGTCAATTGTATAAGATGGTCGAATCACTCAGTTTTTTGTACTCAATACAATCAAATTAGTCACACCCAATATTAAAGAAAATAAAGGGTTTAAGGAACCACTGTGAAGAGAGATCCAGGAAGGGAGGCATCCTCACTGAAGAGGGCAGGCACGGCTCCAGATGTAGGCATCAGCAACCAGTGTGGCGCTGGCTTTTCTCAGCAATCACCTTCTCCTCAGGCACAGCCTCCAGAAGCTTCTGACCTGGGCAGTCTCCAGCGTACTGTGTACACTCCACTGAGATCCCTCTCCAGAAACTGCACTCAGACCCTGTGTTTTGTGAAGTATAGTCCCTGGGGTCCACCAGTTACAACCCCAGGAGCAAGAAGCCTTATCTGTGGACAAAAAAATGTTGTCTGCCATTCAGTAAACAATGAATGCTGCCCTCCAACAAGCCAGCAGACACTGCAGCTGCCCCTGATGGTGTGCCCGGAAGGGAATTCAGGATGGAGAAAAGCAAGATACTGGTCCTAGGTGGTTAAAAGATGCATATCAAAGGAATAATTTCAGTGAGCCCAGACTTTTGCATCTTCCCATACATAGAAAATCTCTAAAATCCTTAACTTAAGATGTCTGTTTTTTGTAATTAGCAGTAATCTTTTGATGTTCAACTACATTTTTTTCCCCAGTAAAAACTCCTATACATCCAGGCTCCTTTCTTACCTCTTTGGAACAGCTCCTCAGAGATACCTGAGAGGCTGATAGCCAGGCTATTGTCTTAGTAAGTTCCCCAAATAAAACATAACTCTCAACTTTTAGGTTGTGTACTTTTTCAAGTCAACACATGGGTGTGGATTCTGAAAAATTAGGATTACTAGTGTGACAGGAGGGAAAGGAGCTGGGCACAATTATTAAAAGAATGACAAAGCCATTGAGGATAGTACATATACTGGTTAGAACCAATCAGGCCCAAGATGGCAGGAGATTTGATTTCCAGTAGAGATTAAGCTTCATTATACACTCATTGTAATAGAGTAGCATGCTAAATGACACACCTGCAGATGCCATGACAGTTCTCAGGCTGACCATAAAAGGCCAAAAAGTGAGCAGTGGCCCAATTCCTGGAAACCCCTGTCTTTTCCCCAAAACAGTTGGAATAATCCTCCCACTTGTTAGCATATGAAATTACCTAGCCCATAAAAACTAACCAACCCCATACCTTTGGGCCACTCTCCCTTCTAAGACAGACACATTCTGTCTATGGAAGTGTGTATCTCTCTAAATAAACTCGCTTTCACTTTACTATGGCTTGATCTTGAATTCTTTCCTGTGCAAAGCCAAGAACCCTCACTTGGTGGCCTGTGGCATGGGCTCACCTAAGACCTGGGACGTGACCACTCTCTCGCACCCCATTTGCCTGCAACACTAAGAAAAATAGCTATTTCCACAGGTGGTTGTAACGCAAGGCAGTTGCTGACCAACGGTAGCACTCTTAGAAGAATTTAAGATGAAAACAGGATGAGGTATCCACGCTTTGGACACACATTAATAGGCAGGTCCCTCCAATAGTTAGACATATATTTCAGGAAGAATTTTGATGACCCCAGATCCTTACATCTTCCCATGCATAGAAAAGCTAAAAAGATTAACTGGAGACACTTGTTCTTTGTGATTAGCAGTAATCTTTTACGAAGATACATGCTTAACTGTAGGTATTCCCCAGCAAATTTTGTATGTGTGTGTGTGTGTGTGTGTGTGTATATATATATATATGTATATGTATATATATATATATATATGTATATATATATATATATATATATACAGGCTTCTCCCCTACCTCTTCTGAGCAGTTGCCTCAGAGTTGACTGGCTATTTCCCCCGCATTAATCCTCTGAAAAATTCTAAATAAAGCTTAAACTCACAACTCTTATATTTAAGAGTTTCTGCAAACCTTTAAAAACAATTTACTTACCTAACTTCACACTCCAGTTATCGTAACTTACATACTCAAAGTCTTAACATCAGACCTTTAAGAACAATCAAGATGGATGCCACATTGGCCACTGTGACTCCATCTTGTTTTTCTCTATTTCTAATAAATCAAACGTTCTATTCTAAATTTTATGAGCAGGAATCACAATATAATGTCAGGTTACAAAAGTAAGTTTATCTACGGAAATAAGAAACTGTATTCTGGTGAACTCCCACCTCCAAACATCAGCTTCCCTCGTTTGGCAGGAATTTTTTTGGTACGCTTTCCCTGAACTGCACAGGATACCGAGATCACGTGCCAGTCAACGCCCAGGGTTGCTATGGAGCCCAACGCGGTCCAAATCGGAAGTGGTCCTTGAAAATTACTTTCCCAGGAAACTTGTATTTGAAAACCATGCCATTTTAACTCGCTTTTTCCGAAAGGAAACTCAGTCAAACTCCCGCTCTCAGCACAGAGAAGGACGCTCTCCTCCGGAGAGAGGAACATCCATTCCTGCAGAAGCGAAAGAGGAAGGGAACCAAGGCGCGAGGGCACCGGTTCTCCGACGAGAGCTTCTCCCGGAGGGACCAGTCCCCCGGCGGGGTTGCCGTGGAGACCGAGCGAGCTTTGTGGATGCCCTGGCGCGCTGAGGCCCGGCCTTCTGCTGCCCGTCTGCGGAGGGGACCCACAGGACCGACGCCAAGATGGTTAGTGGCTTTGAATAGTGAGGAAGAAGTTTGAGTAGGTCCTGGAACTGGAGATTAGAGGTTCCCAGCACACTTCTGGGTTTAGTCGAGGAGTGTCAGCAGAGGATGATCTCCGTGCCCTCCGGATGTTCCCTTGGGGGACCGGGATGCGACTGTAAATGTCTCGTTGCTTTCTTCCCTCCTGCTTCTCCATTTCCTGAGCTGCGCGTGGGGTGGAAAGCAGACCAAGGGAAGACTGAGATGACAGAAGCTGCGCGAAAACATCTCTTATCTCACTCTAATTGGAGGAGATAAAGAAGTAGAGAGTAGGAGTCCAGCTCAAGCACAGGGTGATGGTACTTTTAGTAAAATAGGTGTTACGGAAAGAGTTTGAATAGGCTTATCTAGGGTTCGTTGTTAAGGATTTGACTTATAAATCCAGGAGCTCTAAGTTTAAAATTGACCGTTGGAATTGGATCCTGCAGCTGCCTTTGTTACTTCTTTCACAGATGCTTTCAAGGGCCAAACCTGCTGTAGGCGGGGACCTACCGCATACTGACAAAAGAAAGAAGAAAGGTAGGAAGATTCCAAAACTAGAGGAGCTACTTTCACAAAGAGATTTCACTGGAGCTATTACCCTGTTGGAGGTAATGTCCAAAGAAGGTTGCATCTTAGGAGGTGAATAACAAGGATATAAGATGAATGCTGGTTGCTATGCTGTTGGAACAGGTGGTTGCATTCTGGGGCTTTCTATAAATCTAGTCAGGCACAGATTCCAGATTCCAAGTTAAGTATAAACCTGATTAAAAATGAACTAAAAAGATAGGCTTCTTTCTTGTGAAGCACTTTTAATTATGTCTAGTCCCACTGATGGTGAATCCAACCTAAAAATGTAAAGGGACATTTAATACAGTGTCAGTTCACACATTGTTTATTTCATTCTCTGACTTATTTAAGATTTATTCCTATTATATGCTATAACATTTTGATCAGATTTAATAATTCTACCATGTTTCATGCTTATTGTCTAAAATATCGTATCTTCAAAAGATATTTCAAATATGGCAGTAGTTCTCAATTTTTAATATGTAGCAGTATCACTTAGGGTACTTATTAAAGTGTACATTCCTGGACTCCTACCCTAGGGAATTCTGATTCTTTACAGAATTGGTCTACAGTGGTGCTCAGGAATCTGTATTTTTTGGCAAGTGGCCTAAGTGCTTCTAACACAGATGATCCAAGAATACTGCACTTGGAGAAACTGCTTTGTGGGAAGCACATGTCATAGGAAAATGAAGGGATGCACCAAAGAATGAAGCAATGAAGAGTTTTGACAGCGCAGCCTGGCCGTGTTGTGCCACTGTCATTTCTCTAATGCACTACTCCAGGCATGTTACTCTATCAACAGTAACTGTTTTAACTAGTTTTCTGTATCTTTCTCGGTCTTTCATATATAGTCCTGTTTCTCACTAGTGCCTTGGTATTGAGCACATTGTTTAATTTTTTTGATGTCAGCTTTCTCTTCTTTCAAGTGGGCAAGTTGACTTTGAAGAACTATCTAGCTCTGTAAATCAGTGGACTGAGTGGTAGATACATGTCTAATTTTTGTCCATCTCTTTTTCTCTTCTCTCTTTTCTTTGAGTCAGTGACCACATTTTCCTTATTGTGTAATCCAGTGCTGCCTTTAAGTTGTCAGGGAGGCTCTGCTCTATGTTTACATCCTTAGGTAGCCAGAATGCCATGATGAGTGGGAATGGAAACTGCCATAGTTTGGGATGAGGAATACTCATGAACTCTTCTGTGGCTCGAGGGGGTTCCTAGAGCAAATTCAGGGAGACCTGAAATAGGAGTCTCTTCACACTTAAGGCACTGTACTCAAATTCACAGTATTTGCTGAGAGGAGAATTTCTAGTGCTATGAACTTAGCTACAGGATTAACTTCTTCTTCCAGACAAACTATCAACAGATGTGTTCATCTTATAATGTTCAGGGCGTCTGAAGTTTTGTAACAATGGTCTGTTTAATTTTTAATTTTTTACCCAAGGTTTTTACTTATCACCATATGGAGTGAAAAGAATTCTCACCTTACCATGGTAGTTCAAACTCCTCCTTCAAGGGCTCTGTCCTTTCCTCCAAAACCGGACTTTTCTTTTGTTGGCTGATGAATTCATGAGTGTTTTTTCACAATGGACAGAAATGATTAGGCCATTCTTCTAAACATCCTTAATTCATGTAGACCCTGGTAAGCCTGTTCAAGGGAATAGAATGATTTAATGGTTTGTCCTCAGTGAAAGATTATAACCTATGAAAAATTTATATGGGTGTGCTAATGGGACAGGTTGGAAGTATGACACTGAATGCAGTGGAGCATGGGCGAGAACATGGCCTTTGGAGTCAGTGGGCTCTGGTGGTCCCTGCCACCACACTGACTGGCTGTGTGTGGTCTTGAATTCATTGCTTAATTTCTTTAAACTTCAGTTATTTGGCATTAAATATTTCACATAAGTCTTATGTTCCTTATATATCACCCAGAATTGTTAGGAGGAAAACCTTTCAATACTTTCTGGAGTAAGGTGTCAATAAATACAGGAAAACAAATGTGAAATATTTGAAAATGTGAATTCCAGTGACAATTAAAAGGTAATTGTGCAGAGTTCTGTAGGTATAGGTTTAATTAAACTGGGATTGTCTTGTTTTCATAACTTGTGATTTCCTATCATTCATTAATAACTTAACATAGTATGACTATAACTCAATAAAAAATGTTTAAAAAAACTTAACATAGCAGTTTTTTTAAACAGAGGGTTTACGATTCGAAGTATTAATGATTTTTTTTCATGAAATTTTAACATGAAGTTCAAACGTCATGTTGGGGAACAAGAAGAGGATACTAATTTGTGGATTGGATACTGTGCTTTTCACCTGGGTGACTACAAGAGAGCTTTGGAGGTTAGTTAAAAATTTTTTTTTATGGAAGGAGAGTTTTGAAAATGTCATTAAGCTTTGTATTATAGTAATACGTGCTCATGGTAAAATTCAAACAATATAGAAGGAAACAAAGTAAGAAGGGAAAAAAGCAACCCTGTCTGCCTTCCTCAATTCTATTTCTTAAGTTAATGGAAGTAACCATTGGCTCATTTTTGATGTACTGTTTCAGAAATCTTCTATATATGTCCAAGTATATGTTTGTGTGTCTGTTTACTTCTTGCTTTTAGATATATACTAATGAGATTATTCAATATATTAACATTAGTACTTTCTTAAGGAAATCTTCAGGAGAAGAAAAATAAGCCCTTTTGATAAAAATTTCATGATTCTTTTCTCAAAAAAAGTTCATTGTTATTTTACTTAGTTAACTTTAGACATAGGAAAGATTCTATTCTCTTTATGTTTTTTAAGTGTAGTTTGGAGGGTTGTTTGTCATGGTCATTGGAAATCCAACAATATAATGATCAATCTATGAAATTATGCATCTACATAAAATTATAGATGCCTTATGTCAAGCAGTTTTTAATTCATAAATGAAATTGTTTAAATATTTCCCATATATTCTTACTCTTAAAATGTAATCTAAAGATATTTAAAGAATCTACAATACTAAAATGAAAGTATCCAAGATTAAGTAATGAGGAAGTGATATGAACAAAAGCAGCAAAACTGGTGAAGGAAAAGTGAAAATGTGAAAAGGGCAGAATAGAAGCTGATAGTATTTGTGAAAGAGGCAGGAGAGAAAAGAGAGTAGCCCAAATGGAGTGCGAAAGGAAAAAGGCATCTGGTGAAGACTGATAAATAGTAAAAGAGTGTTTGGAAAATATAGTTGACAAAGTGAACCTTAGAAAGCGTCCTTAGCAGGAACAAAAAATAAAAACAAAACAAAACAACAAAAACCCCCACAGAATTTTAAAATGTAAAGCCAAGTAAACAAAGCCAGAAATCAATTAGAATGAAATTAAATTTGGAGGGTATTAAGGTTATCAGATTTTAAGTTAATTGAACCTATGCATTTTAAATAAGATATCTTTTGTATGTGTTTTTAAGTTAGCAAAAAGAAAATATCTTAGTTAAGTTTCATTTCTTCAGCTGTTAGCCCTTATCAGTATTAAAAAGGGGAAAAAACAAGTGTAAGGTTATATGGACAACAGCCCTGCCTGGGCAGATTGAGCTTAGCTTCCATATTTAATATTACAGGTATAGAATAGTTGAGGAGCACATAGAATTCCCTAAATTTGAAGTTGCCCAATCGCAGTAAGAACTCCTATTTCACTATACATAAAGGAATGGCCCATTGACTGTTTTACTGCCAAAATGAGATCACTGCTTGGGGTATATTTCAGGAATATGAAAATGCAACAAAAGAGGAAAATTGCAATCCTGAAGTCTGGGTGAACCTAGCCTGTACCTACTTTTTTCTTGGAATGTATAAGCAAGCTGAAGCAGCTGGATTTAAAGGTAAAATGGGCCCTTTTAATATCTGATATTTATCACTAAGAATAAGAGTCAGTTTGGAGATTTTAAGACTTAAATATTTGATTCTTGTTTCTATTAAGTCGAAACCAAGTGACATTAGAAAGCTTAAAAAAAAAAAAAAAAGCTCTACTCTTCAAAGAGTATTGGATCCTAGCAACTTTATGTTTGAAGAGAGTGTTAATCTCTGTGCTGCTGACCCTCCCCACTCCACCTCCCTCAAAAGCAGAAGGAGCTGCAGCCAAAGAGCAGAAGGATGAGAGAAGGAAAAGGTCACAGTGTCTTTCTTAGGCCCCACCGTGGTAGGAAGTTCATGCTGTTGGTAGGAGTTGGGTTTAGTTGTTAAAGCTCTCATGAATGTGGATTTTATAGCTTCCTTTCCTGCTTTTGAGTGAGAAGCCAACTAATTCCAGCTTGAAGAACAGATTTCTTCCCTTTTGCTTTACTTGCCATGACAGTCATCTTAGGAGAACTGGATTCAAATTTGCAAATAAGAGTAGGGCAAAAGAGAAATATGGGAGGAAAGATTAAGGATAATTAGAGTATGAGGGGGAAGGGTATAGCTCAAGTGGTAGAGCACATGCCTAGTATGCACGAGGTCCTGGGTTCAATCCCCAGTACTTCCGTTGAAAAACCAAATAAACCCGATTACCTACTCCTGCAAAAAATTTTTTTTGAAAAGGATAATTAGAGTATGAATCAAATTAAATTCAAAGAAATGTTGAGAAAGTGGCAAAGGAATTTTTGTTAGATTTGTTAGGGAAGAATGTATTCCAGGGTAGAATTCTTAGAGAATTAACTGGTATATGCATATTTAGAAAGAATTTCAGTTCAAATTCATGGAAAATGTGGACATTGAAGTCTCTTGATTCGTACCCACATTGTTTCAATTTACTAATGCAGTTTTTCCTAACATAGTTATAAAGACCTTTGAGTTATTTACTTCATCTCATGTTTCTAGCTTTATCTGTGCCTAGAACAGTGTTAGACATTTGTAAGGCGATCAAGGTAGCCATCTCTCTTTCCATATTTTTTTTCCTTTTTTATACATGAAAGTATGACTTTTTGGTGTTAAGAAGTACAGGATCAAGTGTCCAGAATTAGGACAATTTTGCAAGAGTACAAAGGGGATCTGGAACTTGAAAGGTGTTAACCTTTCTGCTTGGCCACCTGTTTCAGGCGGCAGATTATCATGCCAGAAGATCTCTGAAATAGGGACTGGGATAATATTTAGGAAAATATGGCAGTAGAATTGTGAAAAGGAGATTTCAGAAGGAATTGACAAAAAACAGTGGGAGAATAGCTGAATGAGAGTAGATTCCCACGTGGATGAGGCGACCGTGCTGTTTACTTCCAGGTCCAGTATGTGAACGCCACAGAGGTGGGCTGCTTCTTGAACCTGAGGAGCGCTGAGCTTTACCACGATGGAATCAGGAAGAACAAGTGGTGGGCAAGAGCAGAACCTTAGAGATGTTGCTGCTCCTGCAGTAGGACTAGCTGAAATAATATGTATTATTGCAGAGATATGTCAGGATGGGTCAGGATTTGGGAAGATTTATCTGAGTCTCATGCCATTCCTGCAAGGGACTAAGTGCCATAGATAATTGAGTCCTTAAATAAGCAACTTGGATTTTTTTTTTCTCAGCTCCAAAAAGCCGACTTCAAAACCGCCTCCTCTTCCACTTGGCTCACAAGGTATTTATATTCTCATTTCACACTTTCTGTGTTTATTTTTTTAAGTAAAACTTTTAAGTATTTCTTTTTTTAAACTAAAGTATAATTGACTTTATCCTTTTTGTTTTTAAAATGTTTTTCTTTTTCTTTCTTCTTGTTACTAACACGTAGAAATACTTGTTAATGATATTTCTGGAACAAGTAGGATATAGGTGTTAATTTTATAGGATTTTCTCCCCCATCAGTGTTTTTTACCCTCTTAATTTATTCAGAGATGTTAGGTTTCAGTTCTTCTTAAGCAGTAGTCATTTAGGATTAGTTTGTTTCCACAGTCCTGTTGTCACTTAGGAAACAGACCCAAAGACACCTAGTCCTGACTCCTGGAAATAAATACACACTTTTCAGAATTGCTTTATAGCAATACTTTTGATAAGCATCATAAAATTATTTTTAAAATAATACTTCATATTATAAAATGATACATTAATTCTATTAAACAAGATATAAATAAGCAAAAAAAAAGAGAATATAACATCTACTATATTTAAAGCTAACTGCGTTTTAACCTTTAGGTATATCTCCTATTGGGATAATTGTGGGGGTTTTGCATATTTATATTTTTGTTTGTTTTCCAGAATGGGATTCATGCTGAGAATGTATTTTTGTATTCTGCTTTTTTTAACTTATCTTTATTCTATGAGCATATCTCTGAGTCACTAGTCTTCAAAACTATAAATTTTTATAGCAGTGCATCACGTGCATGTGCCATAACTTATTCAGCGTTTCCTAGTTGTTCGACTTCTAGATTTTTTTTAAATTTTAATCATAAAAATGTAATTCTGTACAGACTTGTGGTTGCCAGTGGGGAGGAGGGTGGGAAGGAATAACCTGGGAGTTTGAGATTTGCAGATACTGACTGGTATATATAAAATAGA